GAGGGTGAGAGGGGGCGGGCCAACCATCAATCAGTTCAGCCAGGATAGGATAGACGAACAGTGCCTCCCGTTGACTCCCCGGTATTCAGCTACCAACAGACAGTACGTGTGTGTAAGTACCATCATGTGCGTACTGATTAGCCTCCGGGCAGAAACAATAGCGGCCACCATACACGATGCGACACAATGCCCACTGATGCTGGCCCGTACTGTGCTGCACTGTCCGTTCGCCATACTGTAGATCCTCTGGTATTCGTACGGAGTACATCGTTCCCATCCACGGTGCCACCTATGTGACCCTTCAGGAGGTGTGCAGCACGTCATTGTGGTAAAGCGGAGGGACGGGAGGCCCAGCAAATGCAGCAAATGGCGAGTCACGCGGGAGCAGCCAGAGCGAGATCTGGACGGGGGCTGGGGCAGATGTTCCATTCCAGAACCGACGCTGCAGTCCCCTCACCCACACACCAACCGCACGCACTCGCTCGTACAGGTTATTTCGTTTCCGATGTGGCTGAGATCTCATAGGCGGCACAGTTCGTGTTGGCAGGGGGTTATTGAAAACCAATTTAGCACCCGTACAGGATGAGACACACATGATGGTAATCTTTACACGTAGCTGCGGGCAAATGCCATGAGTCGAAAAACATGGTATTCAGAGATCTTCGGAGGCAATTCCGATCCTCTGTCCTGCCTTCAAAACAGGAAATAGCAAGGAAAAACGGGTCCCTGGTTTTAAGGATCGGAAAAGTCTGTCCTGACTCCTTGGAGAAATCCCCCTCCGAGGGAGGAAGTTCCTTGCGCATCTTTGCCCATGGGAGAGAACTCCGAGATGCAGGCTAAATCTCCAACAATAGCAGCGATTTATTTTGGCCCAGGCCCTGGAGCCAGGGCCATGTCGGTGCCGATGATTTGCGCCACATGGTGGCGGGAGCACCAGTGCGTGGCGCCCTTGCCTTTTCGGGCGCAACCAATTAAGAAATCAATCCCAGCTCCCTCACTGCCCCCCGGCTATTGGCATCGACTACGACGAGATGTCAGGGATTGATTCCGGGCATAGGTCCGAAGTTCTGCTGTCCAAAATAAGGTTGCTGAAGGAAATGCCAGTTCCCAAAGGATGCTGAGCCTGAATGAAGCCCCTCTCCTCCTCATTAGAGATTGACAGGCTCGTCATCCCAGCTCTCAACCGTGCCGCACGTCCAAGCTCTTCGTGACCAGAGTAACTAAAGTCAAAACACAGTCCCCTGATGCCTGGCCTCTCCTTTTTTTGGCCGTGGTTCGTTCTTCTTACTTGTTTGGGAGCTCTCCAGCCTTTTACGGCCAGATTGCCCATCGCAACGTGGAAGGCACTGATCGGTATCGCATTGTGCTGTCCTTGTGCCAGCGACAGTAGGGATAACCCCTTCTGTGAAAGCTTCAGGTGAGCTACGGTAAGGGCTGCCCTATTAATTGCTACGGACCTTCGGCGGTGACGAAAGGATGGCATATTTTTAGCCAGTTGGACTGAGCGTTGCCATGTGCCATCCCATCTGCCATGTGCAATAACAGACGAAACTCAAACGAAGGCTTCCCGCCATGACACCTGTGGCACATGGGATGGGGCAAACCGACGCGTAGCCAGGCAACCAACCAGGGCGGTCGCATAAAGAAGAGACGACATCAATGACGAATCTGCCTTCACGCAAGCACCAGTGGCTGAGGGGACTTGTCTGTCATCGGGAAGCTAGGTTGTTGATAGCTCCTCTTCCTGACATGATCAACAGACAGTGGTGGATCCAACGCCTCGAGTAAATCGACACTACGAGCGAATGGGTGTGGCCATCCTCGGTTCTTCAACCGCACTGGATGGAAGAGATCGCAATCCCATCACCCTCCGCCGTCCATTCCTACCCATCAATTCGGATGCGCATCTCAAATAGGTGCCGATGTGCACAAAATGAGCGGGAAGCGAGAAGGACCGTTTGGGTTGGAGGACAGGGCTACAACCCCAGCTGTCGGGCATTCGTTTCAGGATCTCCTACCACTGCAACATCAACCCACTTCGCGAAGCTCCCAGGTAATAAGCGCACAGGCAGATCCCTGTTTGCATCGCAGACAATCTGTGACATGAAGGCAGCAAGCACCCATCACATGGCCAAAATTGCTCCAAGTGGACCGGCGCTGCCAGGGTGACAGATCATTTCGCGCGTGCTTTTCCTCCCGTCGGTGTGCTGGGTTCGGTTCAGACCGATTGATATCACACCGGGTTTCACGGTTTGAAGATCGGAAGATGCAAGCCGACGGCCTCGCTGTCTGATGCCACCCAGCAAGAGACCATTCAATTAATATGAGAGCACCAGTTCAAGTCCATTCCTAATCAAAAAAGAAAAGCAAAATTATGCCCTTGCCTCTATTCTCGCAATGGTCTACCGCCCTCACGTTTCAAGATGAGTCTATGGCTGTAAGCATACGCCGCTGGTCAAAGTAGCATGACAAAAGACATGCCATGAATAATATCTGACATGAGTCATCTTCTGTGACTATTCAATAATAATGGAATTACTAAGTCTTGGCTATATTTTCTAGCAGACTATAGGTACTGCTCTCATTACCGAGACGATGTAGATTGTTTAGAGATAAGGAGGACCTTTCGAGAGAATCCAAACGTACAAACAAAAATCTACAGAATGATCAGTGCAGTGTAAGCACATAGAAACTGCCAGTCTTCTTCTCTTTGTCCAGTTCCACCGTAAACTCGGACTGGAACAGACACCGGGTTTCTGATGCCTCCGAAGCCCAGTCTCAGTCGCCTTTAACTCTGCTGTGACAGTTTTCGATACCGCTGGAAGAACCATAAATCTAACCATTTTTACCGAATAATACGTAAAAATATCATTAGGCTAAGGCAGTGACCCAAGCTCATAATCTACATGTCTTAGGTAGTCGTTTCGTAATGTCTTCCATGTTCTTCTGAGTGATGCCTAACCCCACCCATCGCGAACGCGTCAACCTTCCACTGGAGGTTCTTGGACAAATAGCTACTTCTCGATACATTCTTCCTTCCATAATTTGAGACCATCAGCCCGTAGTCCTGGGTACCTTTCGTATGTTCTTTTCGTCTCAGCCAATGGCTGAACACAGCCAGGTGCTCTAGCCAGTCGCCAGACCAGATTGCGGATACAAATCTGGAAGCTGTATGTACCCCATAACGTTTTGAGTTCTACTTTTCAAAGTGTCCCTTGGCCCAGATTTAGCTTAAAAGATATGGAATCTATGTCTTACGATTTCTAAGCTCTGCGTTTAGCAGTACTACCTCTTGGTCCAACTTTGCCTGATGATCCTGTCTTTGCAAATGCTGGAATATCCTCCCACTTTGCAGCGTTTCGATCAATTGGGAATTTATCCGGATTGAATATGTATCGTATGTAAGTCATGAACAATTGTAACAGGATCGTTAGGAAAGCGGGCAATTTTACATTGCATCCACCAAGTAGGCCAAGCAAGAAGTTATCTCTCTTCCCCTTCCAGTCCATTCTGAAAGCTCTTTCTACCGCATTTCTTGTAGTAACCATTCAATTACCTGCTTATAAGGAATCTCGAACTTTATCAGTAGTCACAAGAATCTTCCTTCTTTTCGTTTGCTTTTTCTCTTTTTTGAGGACCAATACCACCACCATCACAATCACAATAACAGCCACAATAACAGTCACAATAATAGTCATAAAACAGCCATATAACAATCATGTTTCCGTCGAGGAAACGCAGCGATTCCATCGAACAAGTTCAACTCCGTGGTCCCATCGGACAAATCACATCGAACGAGTAACCCAGGACCGTCACCAGATCCCGCCAGACGAAACTGTGACACATGCAGTAAGAAGTTCCCTTCTCGCAACAGCCTGATGAAACATGTGTTCTCCAACATATCCACTGGACCTAAACTTCCATTCGGGTTCGATGGAGACCCCTATGGAAGAAGAGGAAGAAGAGGACCAGTTCGGTCCCACGGATCGCCCGCCCGCTGAGCACGCGTTTTACATTTCTAGAGTAGAGAATGAGAATTAGAATAGTCATAACAACAGCATGGTACCCATAGCAAGTGTGATAAACTGTTTGCACCGGCAGCTGCTATCCTGTCCGTATCTATGTTCTAATATAATCTAATGTAGTGAATAAGTCGAATCGCCGGGTGTGTAGGCTTCAAACACTTAATTACACCACCGCGAGACGCAACATTTGCACCAGAGCCCAGAATATCCTTAGTAATAGTGAATAATCTACGAGAATGGCGCTTGAGCGCAACGGCTTCCCATGCCTTTATCACCTCAGGCTCTAGGAAGAGATCCCATGTCCCTCTCCATGATATGCCAACACCTCTCCGGTACTGGAAAAGTGCTTCCAACACATTTCTTATATTACAAAGCTCCATTGCTTCAAGTCTCGGCATCCTCAGCGCTGCTTCTGCGGCCGACTTAAGCATACTGCTCGCTTCAACTATCCTTGCGTCAGGCGGAAACAGATTTGAGGCAAGGCTAAGCAAACTTAGGTTGGTCCACTTCCAGTCATATGGAGGGCAAGGGAAAAAGTCATTGGCATCTAGTATAAGGGATGCCGAGAGGGATTCGAGCTTAACACTGGCGATGCCCACCGCTCGGCTCACGGCAGGAGCCGGGGTTCGAAAGACTTCAGCATGGCTATGGTATGATGGATATCTTGATTGGGATTTCCAAATACCGCAAGTCTCTCCAATTCATGAGATGCAAATGACTCGAAAAAATGTTTGGTTATCTCTCGATTTGTTGGCAAGTCATCGCCACAGATTAATAAACGTAGCAGGCGACTATAAACAACTAAAGAAGAAATCGAACAAGAAGAAAGGGAAAACGACCTGCTATCTGTGAAACACTACTTGGCAAATTCGTATTCTCTCCCAAAGTTCAAAGTTTAACCCGGATCGCTTTGAGCCCAGTGGATCGCGTAAATAGTTACTCGAGTACAGCTGGTTTCCATCGTCGCCGAGTTTACTAACGAAGAAGCACGACTATTACTACGGGTGTTGTCGAAAGCTGCTTCCACCATTCACATTCCTCTTCCCCTGTATCAAATGGTGCACCGGCCATGGTCTCATCACAAACCTTTTCAAGAGCTGACTTTGTTGGAACAAATCCTTGGCTGGCAGCATTCCATCCATGCCGCTTGTCATCAACCTTAACCAGTATTGTTACCTTCCCCTGAAGATATTGATCCAGATTATCAGTCGTGATGTCGGCCTCAAATTTCAGATATTTAAACCAATTCTCTGGGTCGCTGGGCGAATGAATGCCAATATCAAGCAATAGATCAGACTTTGCCTCCCATGTACGAAGAGCAAACAACAGGTCTTGGAATGCTGTGGCAATGAGGTTATTATTCATCCTACCTATACCCGCGAGTGGCATTTCATTGTTCTTGCACTTCGAGCAGTCGTATTCTTCTAGCCCCATGCAAAGCTATAAATAGCCTACAAGATGCCGATTGCGATGGCTTATTCGGTTGAGGTCTTGGAGGTGATGGTGTCAACATGATCCGGGTAAATATATGCGGCTCGATAATACTCTGCCATTCTCGCGACACTGCAGCAGCATTGGACAAGCTGCAACCGTCCTGAATCAAGGCCTCGGGGACTAGAAAGCCAACCTCTTCGGGAAGTAAGTTCCTATTTGCTGTTTTCTCTGAAGAGTTGGGCCGAGACATTTCAGATACGAGTTTTTGGCAAAGCTTTTATACAACTCTGATACGAGCATTTTCCCGAGTCATAGTACCTAAATAGTAGCTAATGATGAAGAACCTGGATCTTGGTAAACTGTATTCTTGCTCCTCGTGATTAATTCCCACTCCAGTCCGACTAATAATGTCATTCAATCTCACCTTGGTCAGATGGGCCGGTTCTAGGGTAGGCGGGTAATGTAGTCTTCAGGAAGCGGGATTGCTTGACGTGACCGGCACACGGTAGTACGTTCAGGGAAACGGGTCTGGTTGAAGACAAGCGCGTGCAAGTGGAGACGTGCTGGCTAAACCCTCCTAGTGCCAACTGCCAAGTTCCATATTTCAGTCGAATGTGCTGCATATCTCCCTGTCTCTGCTCTGTGCATCGACATCTATGAACGCCAAGACGGAGGACGACCAAAGACGCTCGCGGGTGCGTCCAGGAGCAGTTTGGACCGCAATGATCCCATTCTCCCGGACTGGGTCGTCGATGGGGCCACCCTTTGCAATCATATCCTGCAGGGGGCCAGGTCAGCGACCAGGAGGAATGCACCATGCAGAGGACAGCGCCGAGCACGAGCGTCTCCATCTGGCGACTCGACTAGCATCCAGTTCCCCTCCAGATAAAGCTGGTTTGGGAAGTGCCCCCAACGGATCGGCTGTTCTCATTCCTCCCCTCCCATGCGCGCAAGGCCTGGGGGGGCCGAGCCAGCGCCGTTTGATATCATGTAGCTAACGGGTTTGCAAGTTAGTGCTCGGGTGGGCCGCCATGTCATGTATGTCCTTCCTTGATGGTGCAAAACAAATGGCTGGGGCGCTTGTCGGGATACAATCACCAAATAAAAGCCGGCGATCTGCTGCACGCACGCATCCATGGACCAGTGACCAGGCCAGAGCAGTGCGTTCGTTCCTCTTGTTGTAAAAGTCGCCGTAACGTGCATGCCTCCCCTGTATCCCATCCCGTGCAACAACTGGGTCGCTCTCCCTTAGCCAATGTACGCCTGCCCCTGGAGTCTGGATTGGATGCCAGAGACGACGGGAGGATTGGCCCTGACCTGAGCCCTTAAGTGCTGCGACGCTGGAGGAGGCATTCAACCGTCACTCTTTCTTTCCTCTGCCCTCTCGCTCGCTCTCATTCCCACTCTCACTCCTCCCCTCTCTCCCGTCCTCCCCTCCCTCACTTCCACGCTCTTTAGCCCGTTGTTTTGCTTCCTCCACGCTCGTTTTTGGGTCAGACTTACACGGCCTGTGTGCCAATTGGCTGGTCCCCTCTTTTCAATCACTTGGACGTGTCCGGGTGTTTGCCCCGTTCATGCATACGGGCAGGTCAGCAGGAACTACTACGCCAGCGCAGACACTCCATCAATTGGGCATCCATCGATTTTTTATATTTTTACTATAGGGTTTCACCGGTACCGAATGCTTGGCTTGGCCTTTTGCCTAATAACCATAGCCAGCCCTTTGCCGCGAGGAGAGCCCGCCTGGATTTTATTATAGCCGGGCCTGGGACACTTTATAAACCATTTTGGTTTCAAACACCGCGCACGAGAGAGGAACCGAGTGAGGTGGACGGCACAGGCGCACACGCAAGTACCCAATCCCACAGGTAGATGGAGGTGCTGGGATGCAAGCCTGGACAAAAACAGAACCGAACATGGCCACAGGTTTCACCACAGCGGGCCTCGCCGCCGAAGAAAGCTACATCGCCCTCAGCGCCGGCACCAGCACCGCCGCCAGCAGCAACACAGGCGCTACCGTCGCCAGCATTAGCGAGGTGCTGGGCCAGGCGCTGCCTATCAACAACCGATTGTCCGACAGCAGCAAGCAAGGCAAGACACCACCGGAAAGAAATGAAAACGGCTGCCCGCTCGATCCTCCCGACTCAGACCGGGTAACATCTGTCTTACAGCGCCGGGCACTATCGAAATCGCCTAGCCCAGAAGCGTCCCACCACGACCTCGCAGCAACCCTCGTCCCTGCCACCACCACCGAGACCCAACCAAACGGCAGTCAAGTCGCTGCAACCAAGGCACAGCAGCGTCAAGACCTGCAAAACGGTCGCCTCCAGCGCCGGCCGTCCGATCCATCATCATCATCCCGACGATTCGAGCCAGTGTCACCACCCTCCCGCTACAGCGAAATAACATCGCCATACAGTACCACCGACTCGCAGCCACTATCACCTTCCCGAGACGGCGGCAGACCTCAGCCATCGCCAGCTTATGTCTCATCCTACCTGAGCCGTCGCAAATCCTCGAGCCGAAGTTCATTCGGCGGTGCTGCAATTCCTTACAGTCCTCAGACGCACGACAGCCAGGACGCGCAGTATGCTGAAAACTCGCCAGGTTTCCTAACATCGCCAGACGAGGCCCTGTCACCGAAACAACTGCCCTCAGGTCAGCGAGAATTGCTCCTCCCGAAATCCCTATCTCAACAACCGAGCCAACCAGAGGAGCGCCGCGTTTCTTCACACCACCCGCCAGTGTCGTACAAGCCACCGATTAACGCGACCGCGCAACAACCAGGCAACGCGCCGCCTGTGCGTGTCCCCCCTATTCGCGCTTTCCGCTCATCTGGCTCTCGCAAGAGTTTGACTCTCGACATGAACTACAAAGGCCAGTTTTATGAGTCAGGTGACGAGTCGAATGAATCCAGTCACGACTACACTCTTCGAGCGCTGGAAGGTCGGTCAGCCCAACCCCAAGACAGGGTAGAGATAACGCCGCCTATGTCTGCCAAGCATGATACTTCTGATGCAGATGATGGTGGGGATGTTTTCCTAAAAATTGCTCGCGAGGAATCGATGCGGAGGACCTCGAATCGACGCGTGACGGAAGACATACAAAGTCCAGCGGTAAGTCTCAAACTCTAAAATCTCCCCTCACCTCGCCCCCCCCCGCTTCCTGTCTCGGCCATCTACACCTGGCCTGAACTCTCCATGTGCCTGGAAGAAGCCTGCCAGTTCCTGCAAGTACACTTTGAACAACCTGATTATACGAGGACGCTGCCTATACTGCTTGCCTGCATGAGCATATCAATGCGGAAGTCTCGTCCGATCTCGCATGGTTACTTCTTTGTCTACTTCATTGGTCCTATATAACTTCACCCGCCTTTGTCTTTTTACCTTTGGGCGACGCCACGACGCAGGCCTTTGTGCGGCAAAACCGGTCTCAAGATGTTGGGCTCGCCATTTGATATGGACTTGCTAACGCTGCAACAACAGTCACGAGTGTTCCGCTCGCATAGGCGCCCTCTCTCTACCACAGTGGCCGCATACCAACCCGACTCGCCGCCACGCATTCCCCGACGGTTGTCGGATCAGGAGCAGTCTTCCTCGCGGCGTATGGATGATGCAGTCAGTGAGATTGCTCGAACCTTAACACAGAGGTCCATGAGTCGGGACAAGGCCATGTCTGCCCACCCGGCGGCTATGGATGATGCAGTCAGTGAGATTGCTCGAAGCCTAACCCAGAGGTCCATGAGCCGGGACAAGGCAATGTCTGCCCATCCGATGGATGATACAGTCAGTGAGATTGCTCGATCCCTAACTCAGAGGTCCATGAGCCGGGACAAGGCAATGTCTGCCCACCCGGCTGAAGACTCATACCACCGTTCGAGACACAGCGGCAGCGCTCTGCGACCTTCCCCGCTTACCCCTCGATCAACCACCCTCCCTGATACTCTAACGGACAACCCCATTCACACACGCCGGCGATCATCCATTACGGACCAAAACACCACGCCTCCCACACGATCCACGACATACCGGTCATCTGGTACTGTCCAGGTACATGGGAAGACGTACCATTCCTCGCCTCTGGTTCGCTCCTTCGATCTCATTGCCAATCATAACGCAGAGCCGGCCCAGGCGGTAGAGGGTACTGAGTCAACCGCATCCACCACAGCCCCATCAACAGTTTGGGACGAACTAGACGATCTCAAATCCCGGATCCATCGCCTAGAACTTACCGGCAAACTTCCATCCACATCAGGAGCAGCGGTTTATAGGCTATCTGACGAACGACCTCCAACCGCGACCACAACCGTCACAACGGTATCCTCATCGCCTAAACGGATCGTTGTTGCGGCGCAAGCTAACGACGCCGCGAGCGCGGTAACGACTGCTCAGCATGAGTCGTTTCCCGTCCTTCACTCCGCATTGGCGAAGTCAAAGCCGTTTTTGAATGCCGAAATTTACCGAGCCCTTGAAACGGCCGCGACTGAAGCCATGTCCCTATCTTCAATGATGGGGACCTCTGGACAGCCGGGGCCCATCTCAAGCGGAGCCAGTGGTATCGGAACGGGAAGCAACATTACAGACCGCCAACTTCGTCGCAAGGCAGATAGTGTGTGCCGAAGCCTGACAGAACTATGCGTTGCACTTGGGGAAGACGTGGCCCATTCCCGCCCACCACCAGTGTCACATTCACACAAGTCCTCTCTCAGCAAGCCCCAAGTCCAACAAGCTCCTCAAGTTGCTCAGGAGGAAGGTCCAAGAACCCCAACCATTAATAAGAGTTTCAATACGATGACGTCTCTGTCGTCCCAGAAGCGCCCCAGCATGGCAGCTGAGGGTGTGGCGTCAAAACCATCAAGCACTGTGACAAGCCCAAGCCGTGGATTGTCCAAATTCGAGGAGAGGCGCAATACATTGCTGAATGCGAATACTTTACCGAGCCCGCGGGCTACTGGCTCTGGCCCTCCCACGCCGCAGGACGCAAACGCAAACCGAAGATCGTCTCTTTTTGTGGCTAGGTCACGCCGTGCCCTCACAGAGGAACCGGAAGAAGTTACCGGGAGAAGATCTTCTCTCTTATTGAGAAGTAGGCGTGGTGCGACTGAGGAGCCTGAAGAGACCCGTCAAGAGGGCCGCCAGACATCTCTTCTACTTCGAAATCGCCGCGGGACAGCGGGAGAAGGTGATGATGAAGTGAGATTTACCACGCCGTCTCGAGCTTACACTGAGGTAAATTCCTCAAGAGGCCCTGGTCGAGAGTACACAGAGGTCGCAACCTCATCTAGGCTCCCGACCAGAGATTTCAACCCACAAAGCCAGCTTTCACCACAAGATGCCTCCTCACACACCTCTGCTCTACCGCGACGCCGATTTATGTCCGGAACTACTGGCATCAGCCGGCTGGCTACACCAGCAACTCCAACTACGACAACGCTCCCCGCGCGCAAATACGTAGAAAGATCGACCCGTGAGAGAGGGGATTCCGTTGGAGCTGAGAGGACCGAGAGGAGCCAGAAACGCTACTCGCTGGGGTCAAATACAATTCTTACCAGTGGAGCCAGCCTTGGCTCAAGAAGACAGAATCGTGACAGCACGATAGCCAATATCACAACGACTGCAGCAGCCGGGGGCTATCGATGAAGCCCCGAATAACGAAAGATGAAGAGCCTGGAAAACGTCATGACTGTACAACATGTTTTGTTTTCTCGTAATACCGGCGTTGGGTTTATTATTGTCTTGCTTTAGTGCCATTTCTTCCTCGTCGTCTTTTCTTCATGAGAGCAGCGACCATGGCTTTTGCTCAAATCGGTATGGACATGAAAGGGCGTTTGCTTCGTTCTACCACTGTAGATAGGCGAAGGCGTTGAGTTGGCGTACACAGCATGTGCAGCTCTAGTCGTATAATATCCTAAAACCGTGGAGCGCAATGTGAGCTTGTTGGGCAACAACAATGGCTCTTGTATATGTACTCATCGATAGCTGAATAGGAAGACTAATGTACTTATTTAATTTGGACTACAAAATAATCGGATTTATTTTTTCATTCGCATTTGCTGCTATCGTGAAGTATATTTCCGGGTTCCCAAAAAATTTGGTTATTTGAAGTGGCTCATGCTGACTCACGCCGACTCACGCCGTTTGTGTCACCCACCAAACTTGAGCCACACTTCAAGCCTTCTTTTGACGCCTAACTTATAAAGCAGGACCAGGTCACCACCCAACGAAGATCACAATCATCCGTGAACCTGTATTTCTGGAATTTCCGCATCTCATCTGCCCCTAAAATCCTCTCTCTGCTGGTCTGCCGTAGGCCTCATCTTCCACATCGAACTGTGAACCTTCATGAGCCAGCGACTGTTTCTACAGCAGTGAATATGGCCGACAACGACGCACACCATGGCCTGGAGGAGAGAGCCCACAACAGGTCAGGCGGTAGAAGGGGCGGCGGAGGTCGTCGGGGTCGAGGCGGAGGCGGAGGCGGGATGAGTCGAGAGGTCCAGATCTCGAAGGCGCTCTCGAGGCTGCTCAGACACCAGGCGGAGAATGCTGGGATCACGCTGGACGGGGAGGGCTATGCTCCTCTTGATCGGGTGGTGAGTCGTCCCCGTTGCCATTAGAAAATTGTTTATAAAAACCCCAGCAGAGGGGGGTGTCATTTTCATGGAGTTGGAGAAAACTGTCATTTTTCCTTTTTTTTTTTTTCCCTTTTTTTTCTTCTCACTTTTGCTAACTGCTCCGACAGCTTGCTTGGGGACCCCTCCGCAGCCTGCAGGTCTCGTTCGAGGACATCCGGTCGGCGGTGTCGAACAACGAGAAGCAGCGGTTCGCGCTCAAGCCGAACCCGGCGACCAACCCGGAGCTGAGCGCGGAGAGCACGGCGCCGTCGGACTACCTCATCCGGGCGAACCAGGGCCACTCGATCAAGGTCGAGTCGGCGGGCCTGCTGGTCCCCATCACGGCGGCGGGCGAGGACGGCGGCGCCGAGGGGGAGGGGGAGGGGGGCAACATCCCCGAGAAGGTGGTGCACGGGACGTACTTTGCGTTCTGGCCGGCGATCGTGGAGGCCGGGGGCCTGAGGGTGATGGGGCGGAACCACGTGCACTGCTCGGAGGGGACGCCGGAGGACGGGGTGGTGAGCGGGATGAGGAGGGACGCGGAGCTGATGGTCGAGATTGACCTGGAGAGGAGCATTAGGGAGGGGGGGCTGAGGTGGTGGAGGAGCGAGAACGGGGTGATTCTGACGGAGGGGGATGAGAGCGGGCTGGTGAGCTCGAGGTTCTTCAAGAGGGTCACCTCGCGGACGGAGGACGTGGGCGTGCTCTGGGAGGATGGCGAGTGGGTGGCGGATCTGCCTGCGGGATTGAAGATCAGGGTTCCTCACGGCAAGAGACCGGGAGGTGGAAGGGGTGGGAGGGGAGGAAGAGGGGGGAGTAGAAATGTATAGTGGTGATGATATTGAGCTGGGGGTCACTTGGAGACATTGTGGAACGTTTTGGAACGAAAGATAAGAAATGGGATTCGGAAAAGCTGTGCCATCTGACTGATACTGGCAACAAAGAAAGGAGTACGTGGCGGTCGTTAAACTTATGATAATCGTAGAAAAAAACAAAACAAAAAAGATCGACTATAACCAGTAACCAACTCTCAACCTGCTAGTGTAATCCTCTACCATTTATGAAATCCAAGGTCTCCTCTCTATCCTTATTTTCCTTCTCCAGCCAAGCAAGTAGCAGCTCGTTCAACTTCTTCTTCACTGCCAGTTGATTTGGCATGTTCCTTACGGAACCAAGGTCGGCGCCTTTGTAACTAGGCTTCAAGCGCAATCTCCCGTGGAAGAGTTCGGTCGAAGCATCCCACCCGATGTTATAATCCGGATGCTCCAAATTGAGGCGACCAGTCAGCCAAATGATACGCTTGTCAATTTCTTTGTCTTTCTCGCCCCGTGAGGAGGGAGAGGACGACGGGCCCGCACTCGTCCCATATGTAAACGCAGGAGAGTCGTAAGCGTCTTCAACCTTGACCTTGTTCAACCCCGGGTTGGACGACGCTCTCGTCTCTTGGGCGCCTGGGATAGGTGAAGCCGCCCCGGACAGGTTGCCCATGGACGACGACCTTGACAAGGGTGGGCTTGGGCCTCCTGCGCTACTCTCATTGTAACTAGAAGAAGCAGACGTACCACGTAGAGCCGCAAGAGCCTGTTGGGCAGCAAACTGCTTTGCTTTCTGCAGAGTCGTTGTATTAGCAAGGCTGCGCAGCTAGGCCAAGCACAAATCTTACTCGCCATGACATACCTTCTTGTTCTGGAAGCAGGGCCTATGGTTGTGAGAGTAGCCATGGCCAGCACGAGGGAACCTCCCATAGCCTTGGACTGTGCAGACGGACCGCCACAATAGGGTGCTGGGGGAGCCCTCTGTCCCTGGTTGAGCTACTTCCTCATCGTGCCATTTGGGGTGTGGTATCTGCTTGGCCTGTAGCTCGTCTGTTTGTTGGTGTCAGTAGATCAGCCCCAAAGAACCGAGAGAAGACTTGGTTGTGTTTTGGGCCCGGGTTTAGTGTGCGACATACTGTTCAGCTGGGTCATGTAGTTCTCGGTGCCAATGTCCGGCTCCGAGACCGCGGAGACGAGTTCGCTAATGGCTGCCGACTGCCTTTGGCTCAGCCTGGCTGTTTGGCCATTGTTCCTCTCCCAGGCTTCTTGCTGGTCGATCCAACGACGCAGCTGGTCCCAGGGAGCTGCGGGAGTGCGAGCCATGATGACGAGCTACTTGGATGAGAGGATGGGAGATGAAGTATCAAGTAGAGGGCGGGAGAAATAAGATAAGAGCACGTTGATGGTTTGCGGGAATGGCTGTATGAACACAGTAAAGGGCTTTGAGTTTCTTGTATGAGAGAACTGTGGGGTGCAGGATGTAGGAGGAAGCTAAGTCACTGGGCTTTGGATATTCCGAATGAACTCAAAAAGTGAGATGCTGAGAGGAGGTAGAAAAGAAGAGATGAACCAGGCATTCTTATACTTGGCCATCCGAGGGGTCGAGGGCTATTTGGCGGCGCAGACGGAGAGAGAGAGGAGGGGGGAGAGAAGGTCGGGCAACCTTGAAGGCCCTTGAGCTGCGCTTGGGCGCCACCCGGAGTGGCCTCCCAGGCGTTCCCCAGCCTGCATCGTCCGCATACCAACATGCAACTTCACGCTGCCCTCCGGAATCTTCTAGACCGGAAAACTGCGATCTGCACTTGCCAATCCTTGAAGACCGAAACTTCAAATCGGGAATTCAATTCCAAACAGGCATTCCGGCTAGTTGCGCGGGGAAAATAGCCCGGTCGCAACGCACCTAGGTACTTGTGAGCGTCTGGTCTGTCCTGCTGCGGTCCAGGTCACATTATACATCGCTGAGCACCGCTGCTTCTTCCAAAACACTGAACACTTTTAAATGTGCAGTCTTTTTGATTATTTCGATCTGTCGATGGCTAGGCCAAAAGGTTAGCTACAAGTTGGGTACCAATGAAAGTGACAAGCACATATACGCTTGCAATTACTACACTTTCAAGAAATGAAATTTTCATGCTTGGTATTATTGACGAGTCAATGTGTGATTGCGTATTCTGTTAGGGAGTGTATCATTGCATGAATGGGCACAACACAAGAAGACCTATAAGATCCCTGGTGAGTATATTCGGGACGCCCGCGAGCACTGAGGCCGCTCCAATAAGAGACAGGCTTTCTTTTGAGTTATCACATTTACTTGCTATGTATGGCGCCATCTGCATCTTAGGCATCCTCGAAGAACCCCTCACCGTCATCCTCACCATCATTGGCGGGTGTTGCAAGCTCGCGCATGAGCCGTCTCCGTTCTCGCCGATTCATGGCTGGTGGATTGGCACCCTTCCCTTGTGACGACGCAGACTTGTGGCTGGCCGGCTGCTTTCCTGGGGCTTCGGTCGGCGTCTTGGTTTTATCCTTGGCCGCCGCATCGCGATTAGGTCGTGGAGGAGGCTTCTTTTGCTTCTGGGTGTCATCGCCAGACCTCCTTTCCCTCAATCTCCTTAGCGCATCCGGACCTTCTTCCAGGGCTGTCTCGACAGCTTTCCACATGGGAGGGCGCTCGGTATGCAACAAGGAGCTGGCAGAGTTGACCCCGCTCTCGTCGCCCTCTTCGGTCTCATCTGCATCATCTTTGCCAGATTTGTTGGGCTTTGCATACAGACTAATGTAGACTTCGGCGTGAGGGTGGTTGACCGCGTACGCCTCATCAACCTCAGCAACGTGCAGCTCGTGCCGCAGCTTCTCCAGCTCATCTTTGTCCTCGCACTTGTCAATCCTTTTTCGGACCTGCTTCGCTAATCGTATTGCCTTTTTCCGTTCTAGACACCGGGGGGGGAAAGGTCAGTTGGGCCATGGGTGGTTGGGCTGTGTAGAAATGTCCCTACCGAAAAACCGAACCATGTGATACTTTGAGATCATTGCACTCCGTTTCTTTTGGAACGTCTTGTCCTCCACTGTCGCCTTATGAGATTCCAGCTCTCTCTCGAGTTCATTTCGGACGTTGGCAGGGAGGTCGTGGTTCTTCTGGAAGAGGCGCTCGATTGTCCGGGCTCGTTTTTTTGCGTACTCGATGCTTCCCTCCTTTGCCCTGTGTTTTGATTTGCCGTTCGGTCGCTGCTTCTTGACCGATGGGCCGGATCGCCCGCCAGAATGCGAGCCTATCTGTGCATTCTCGTCGTCCAACTCTTCGTGGGGTCGTTTGGTGCCCATCATGACGGTGTTCTTGGTTTTGGATAATACGGAAACTCGCCCAGAGCTGCTCGCAACTTTTTTTCTGGGGTGCGTCTGCTTATCGCAGCGATACGCCGGCCTGTTGTACTTGCTGCCGCTAGCCTGCTACATGTAGCAAGTAGGGGGTACAAAGGCTTTTTGTACCGTGCTAGGGGTGCGAATTTAGAGAGTTTAGCCTGTATGGGGTTAGCGTCGCACCGACCCTCACTCACCCTCACAAGATCCGTCCAAGCTCATCAAGCTCGCAGCTCATGCAGACCGTCATGAGCATCGGCGGTTCGACTATCCCCCCAGAGGTAGTCAGATGAGAACCTAGACACTGCGCCAAGGCTCAGCATCTTCAATTGCCCACCAGCAGAAGCTCCTCGTTGCTGCGTGCCTGTTCTGTGACCGGACCTTCTACATATGCTCCCAGCGCAGTGAGCCATGCGACTTATATGGTGACACCCAATGGACATCAGTCGTATCGCATGAACCAGTAGATATCGCTTCTGGGCAGAGTAACTTGGTCTTTCTCATCCGCAACACTCGTGCACTTTTTCTGGAGGCGGCGCGGTCGCGCTTTCACAGGCCGTTGTGTCTGGGCCAACTGCTGATCAATAAACCCGTATATATCATCACTCCATCTTGCCACCATGGACCGCCCGGAACCAGGTTTGGTCAAGTGGTCAGCCAACTCGTCTGTCGACAGTTTTGTTCACATAAACCTGCAGCACCGAGTCGTCCAGGTGTATGAGCCCACCGGACAGGCGCGCAAAGGGCGTTTCGAGTACAACAAGACCAGTCGCCATGATGACTTCCCCCCTCTCACCACCTACGATTGGTCTCCCACCAACACGGGTTTGCTGGCGGTTGGGACAAACACGGGAATGGTGAATTTGCTCCGGATCGACGACGACTCCAATGCGTTTGCCGAGCTGGGTCTCAAGATGACCAGGACATGCCAGGCTGTTGCTTTCAACACCACTGGCCTCCTGGCTGTTGGCTTGGATCGTGTTCGCATGGACCAGAGTCTACACGTTTGGGATGTCAATCGTTTATCGACCTTTGGCAAAACCCAGAAGAAGGACCTCCTGCAGGATATTGGGGGGATCACAGAACCCAAGCATCGACTAGAACCCAGTGTTTCGATTTCCAGCATCAAGTTCTTTGAAGACAGCCCCCAGACTTTAGTGGCAGGTATAAAGGCCCAAGGCCTCCGCATACACGATCTTCGAGGTAATGTTGGCATGCTCCCATTAGCGCACTCCATCCTGCGGTGTGCGTACCCTGCTCCGGTTTTATATTAACCGAAACGACTCTTTTAGATCCCAATAGCATTCTTCTGTTCCAAACTAGGTGCAACAACAATCTTGCTATTGATTATGCGGATCAAAACTATTTTGCGTCGTCGGCACTGGATCAACCTGGTGTCATGATCTGGGACAGACGCGCCACCTCCCGTCCCGTCGCCTCTCCAGCATACACCAAGGCAGTAGATGAGGACGAACTTCCCTGGGGCGGGGCCTTGCGGCTGGACAAGGTGATAGAAAGCGATTCCGACACCGAAGGCAAGCATTCCCTTATCCGCTCACTACGCTATTGTCGTGATCGTCGTGGCCTCCTCGCTGTTCTGTCACGGACCGGCCAACTCCGCGTCTTGGAGACGGATAGAGAAGCTGGTCCTTCAAGCACAGCGCCTTCAGATGGTCCGGAGCTTCTCAGTGTTTGGAAATCGCATGAGATGGATCTATCTTATAGAGAAGTCTCAAGGAGAAACAGCCGTATTGTATCGTTTGACTGGGTTACATTGCCGTCGCCCGCTTTCCGACCAAGGCTCCTCGTATTGAGGGCGAATGGCAGTTTTGAAATCCTAGAGAAGCCATCGAGCTCTGCAGGCCATCTATTCAAACTGATCCCCTGGCAGTCCCCTCATAGGGGGTTGGAAGGTATGAGAACAAAGCAACCACTTGCTCCCCTGATAGTTTATTGCTTCTCTGGCTAACTCTTATGCTCCTCAGAGGGGACGCCGTATCTCGATCTAATGCAATTTGAGCCAGCACACGCCCCAGATATGCTTGCATCTCTGACGACTGACATTGCACTCTCTGAAGTGCCCATCTTTGGACCTCAAAACCCCGATTCAGAGACCGACCCGAGGGTGATATCACGTCCAAGCCTCACGACGCTACCAACGGTAGAATTAGTCAATCCTCTCAGCGCTTCGCTACCAGACGCATTTTACGAATCCTCCACTGTGGCTGGAAAGCTTCGTGCCCTGCGTAATTTCGTACGGGAGCAGATGGAAAAGTCAGACGATGCGGACGCAGTCTCGACTAAGTTTGGCAATTTGAAACTTCTAAAAGATGGCGCAGAAGATATTCCACTGGCCTCCAACGGCTACGGATCTTGCCGTGAGATCCACGAAGCGCTGCTCTCTACTCTCAAAGGCGCACAGGGTCTTTCAAGAGAGGCGCAGAGCGTCGTGGATCATGCCATGTTGCTACGCGCCAGAGAAAAATATCTATTTGATGCAGAATTGAACCGATCAGTAGTGTCTGATGACCCTTGGACGGGTTTCGCCTGGAATTGGATTGCAGGTGCGTCGACATCTTCCGCTATATGAAGAATATGAAGTATGATTGGAGGACACACGCTGACATTGGCTCTCGCAGACGCTGAACATGCAGCTGATGACGGCGGCATGATGCTATCAAACCTCGATTTGAGTTATCTGGGAATATACTCTATCTGGACCAACTACTTGGGTATGTTCCGCGGCCGGCTTGGATGTTGTTGGAAAACGGCTGTTAATGTTCACAGGTGAAAATCCATCAACACGACTAACACCTGGATCAACCGCCCCTGATGCTTCTCAGTGGGAACGGTTGATTGGTGCCTTTTGCAAGAAGAATTATCTTCCGAAATTCGAAGGCGTCAATACCAAGAAGCCTCATCATCGCCAGCTGTGTCTACTAATGTGCGCATGGGGCGATGCGCAA